CAGGGAGCAGTGGATATGTATAGATTCGGTCGCCCTATTCTAGAAGCCACGGATTTGGCAGCCCCTGCCCAGCTTCCGATCCTTGCCCAGTGCCCTCACCGCAGACGGCAGGGAACCTTCGGGCGAGACGCCCGGCCCGACCCACCGGCGCGCGTGGGGGCGCGACAGGGAGCAGTCGTTTACGCGGGGGTTCGGGGGGGGCCGAGAGGCGGGGGAGAGGCGGGGGAGGAGGAGGAGGAGGAGGAGGAGGAGGAGGAGGGGGAGGAGAGGAGGAGGAGGAGGAGGAGGAGGAGGAGATGAGGGAGAGGAGGGGGAGCGGGGAGGAGGAGAGGAGCGGGAGGGGAGGAGGAGGAGAGGAGGAGGAGGAGGAGGAGGAGGAGTGGCGGAGAGGGGAATCCAAGGAGCGGGCGAGAGGAGTGGCGGAGTGGCGGGAGTGGCGGGAGTGGCGGAGGAGGAGGAGGAGGAGGAAGAAGAGGAGTGGCGGAGAGGAGGAGGAGGAGGAGGAGGAGGAGAAGGAGGAGGAGGAGGAGTGGAGGAGGCAAGGCGCTCGCACCACATCTGGCATCCTATCCCTTCCTTTCATCCCTTCCCAGTGCGCTGATGTTTTCTCTGTCTACGGACGCGTGTCATAGCCGACCTGGAATTCGAAACAACAAAACAGCAGTGCTTTGCGCAATCGGACAAGGGGAGTTGTGTATGTAGGAGCAGGAGGAGGTGGCGGGTGAGCAAGGAGGAAAGAGGAGGATTTGGAAGGAGGAGGACGAGGATGGATAGCATGAGCAGCAGCATCAGGAACTGGACTGAAAGAGCGGAAGGAGCAGGAAAACCACGGGAAGGCGAAGGAGGGGACACGAGGGGGCGACAACGATCAACGAGGACTCGGATACGATCAACGAGGACTCGGATCCAGCCGCGCTGGGGTGGGAGTGCCATCTCTGAACGACGGGACCACAGTGCCGATCCGAACGTGAGGCCCGCGCTGCAGCGTGAGCACCACTTTGAAACACCGGCAAGCCATCGAGCGGAGCACAAAAGCGATGTGAGACACGCCCCCTCGGTTCAGTCCTGCGTGCAAGGAGCAGCACGCGGAGAGAGGGCGGGACGCGGGAGAGAGGAGGCTCCCATGTCGCGTGCCGCCGCAGAGGGCAGCAGGGGGGCAAGGGGCGCGCCAGGGGCCCCAGGCGCGCGCGCGCGGCCGAGGGGGGGGGGAGCGCGCCCGCCGCTGCGGCCGGGGCGCGTCGCCCGCCGACCGCCGCGGGGACGCGAGAGAGCCGAGAGAGCCCCGCAGACCCGCGCGCGCCCCGCCGCAGCCCACCTCCCCCCCCCCCGCGGCGCGCGGGCCTCCGTAGGGGGCGGCCGGGCCTGCCGCGCGGCGCGCGCCAGGCGGCGGGGCGGCGGGGCGGCCGCTCTCCCGCGGCGACCGCGGCGGGCCCTCCGCCCGGGCCCTCGCCGCGCCGCGCCCCTCCCGCCGCCTGGGCTCCAGCCTCCGCCCGTCCTCCGCCCCCTGTGCTCGCCCTCCTCTCGGCCCGAAAGGAAGGGGGGGGGATATAGCGAGCGTGGATTACCTACCCCGCTTTCGCTGCCAGGCAAAATCAAGTCATACCATGCGCCTCCTCGTCAAGCGGCCTGACCAGTACATGCCGTAATTTGGTATCGCTTGGTATCTCTTGGAAGCGAGGGTGGTCAAAAGCGAGGTAGGTTTGTCTGCCCCCTAGATATAGGGAGAGGGGGGGGTACGAAATCTGCTGCATGCAGCTGGGTTCGGCCCCGCCGCCGGGCCCATTCCTGGATACACATGGGCGCCTCCCGGCGCAGGGAGGCGCCGGGAAAATCAGCTACGTGAGCTGATTCTCGAACCCCCCTTTTTGCTATCCCCCCCTTTCGCCCGGCCCGATCCTCCTCGTCTTGGTATCGCTCGGACGTATGATTTTTTTCCTCGGCGAGGACCATGGGGGAGCATCCACGATGAATCGAAAGATACACGAGGAATGGACGTCCGAGCGATGGCAAGGTCGTGCAGCCTCCAAAAATCGGATCTCGGAGGTTGTGCCCACCAGCTCTCGGTGCGCGGTGCGACGCTCCCCGGCCGGCGAGACGAACAGCATCCCCCAGAGACGTGCACGCCTTCTCTTCTGCCTCCTCCACATCTCTCCTGTTTTACCTATTCTCCTCCTCGTCTTTTTTCTACATCAACTCCTTTTCCTTTTTTCTCCCTGTCGCACCCAGGGGCCACTTGTTAGGGCGGGCCGGGCGTTTCGCCTGAGACGTCCATTACCCTGAAGCTTAAAATTGGCAAGGGAACAGTTTCACTGATGGAGGGCGGGCCGTTTTCAAAAAGTGGCTCCTGCCTTAGCGCGGCGCACATCCGTTCTAATAGTATGCAAGAGCTTCATGGATTGAGGACGGGTGGTTTTCAAATTTTGGTTCTCGCCGTAGCGCGGCGCACATTCGTTCAAACAGTTGCGGGAGTTTCACGAATTGAAGGCAAGTGGCTTTCAAAATGTGGCTCTCGCCTTTCCGCGGCGCACATTGGTTTCTGAAAGTTGCAAGAGTTTCACGGATTGATCGCGGGTCGTTTTCAAAATGTGGTTCTCGCCTAAGCGCGGCGCACATTCGTTTAAACAAATTCCAAGAATTTCACGGATTGACGGCCGTTTGCTCTCAAAATGTGGTTCTCGTTTCAGCGCCGCGCACATTATTTTACAACATGTTCAAGAGTTCCACGGGTCATCATCAGCAACGTACCAGAACTGGTGTTTTGGGTGGATTGGGGAGTTTGCGGGTGCAGCAGTCACGTTGATTCTCTGTGTTGAAGTCGTAGGAATGGCGTTTTAGCACGATTCAGGATCGTCAAGGCTCGAGGGAGGGTTTACTCCAACATCGTTGATGACTCTTTGGTTTACACTGGTCCTTCATCTTCCTCCTCTTCCTTCCGAGCGCGCTAGCCAGTTGCACGAATACTGGTTTCATGCGGGCCGCTCAGAGTTCTCAGTGGACCGGCGGTGCCGTCCAAGCTGGGTTGGTGTGGCAGAGCAGGTCTCCAAGAGCTATATCGTATCGTACCGTATCTCCTCTTTCTCCCTCCTCCTTCCGCCAGCTCGTCCTCTTTTACTCCCTCCCGCCGCGCCCCCGCTGCTCCTCCCGAGAGCGCGTCCCATCCGCGGAGGCGGCGGTGGAGGAGGTTTCACTTTCGAAGCGAAGCTGAGAGTTTTCCACCAGCAGTGTCTGCACCGAGGTGCTCTTGCCTCAGACGCGGAAGACCACACCCTCCTGCTCCCCTTCATGGCGTGAGCTCGGGCGCGTCGGGTCGCCCTTTTCCCGGGCGAGGCAAACCTAGTGGTCGGAAGCGGTGACCCCAAGATGAGGGGATGAGCAGGCGCTCCCGCTCTGCTCCAATTGCTTGAACAGTTTCTAATTCAGCTGCCCCCCAGGCATATGGCAGCGCCACGCCGGGCTCTGGAGGTGTCCGGGCGGCCTGGAGGCCGCTGCGCGGCGGGCTGAGCTCTCTGGAGTGGCCGCCGGCGCAGCTCGCAGTGGTTTCGTTCGCTCCGGGCGCCGCGGGCCCCGTGGGTGAAGGCCGCTGCGGGTCTCTCCACTTGCCCTTGTGGCCCCGGGTGGAGGGCGCGTCGGTGGTCGCTCTGGAGGCCCCGGCCTCCGCCAGCACCTCAAATGGCTCCCCGCCCCAACCCGCTCCCCACGCTCCCGCCATACGCGCGGGCCCAACGCGCTGGCACGGTCCAGCTTCCCGTTCGAGGGCAACGCCATGCGGGCCTGGCAGCGCCTGTGCTGCCTGTGTCCAGTGCCAGCCGTTTCGGCCGCACTGGGCATCTCGCATGTTTCGTAGCGGCTCCCTCTAGCCTTTTTCACAAAGCGAGGGCATTCATCGTCCCTCATTTTGAACGCTCTGTTTCCCGCTCGGTAGCCTGGTGCCCAGCGCGTCTTAGAGCTCTTTTCTAGCACCACTCCAGAGTTAGGGTGGTTTGCTATCAGCAGGTGTGTGCTCTTGCCTCACGTCGTTGGGTGTTTGCCCTGGGCCTTCGGGGTGTTCGCCCGATGGGCCCCGTGGGCGCCTCGCGGGCGCCCCGTGCGCTGGCCGGGTGTTCCCGGTCTCCCGTTTGGGGGGCGCCTCGTGGGGGCCCCCCAGTGCGCTGGCCGGGTGTTCCTGGTGGTCCCGCGGTGGGCACCAGGGGGCGCCTCGCGTTGCTTGCCTGCGCACGTGGCTTGCACCTCGCGGCTTGCACCGCGCAGCTTTCACCACAGCGCTCGCGCCGCCGAGCTTGCGCCACACAGCGCGCACCACGTTTTTACACGAGAGATGGCCTGCACCACACAGCGCACGCAACGTAGCTTCCACCGCGCACCACACGGCCCACACCACGTGTCTTTCACCCTCCAGCCTGCTCCACACAGCTCACGCCACAGACGTCACGATACACACGCTGCAGCACAGCGCCTGCATTTCACTAGACTGCATCTCATGTGTGGCTCACACTCGACTTCCTGCATCACATGGACCGCACTTCGACAGTGCACGCCTGCCGGAGCGCGCCCCCCAGAGGAGATCTTGAATCGCATACCTCGGAGCGCCGTCGGGGCATACAAGGCGGCTGGAGTGTGTGCCCGCTTGTCTGCGTTGGAGATGTTTCATCATTGGCTTCTTTAGCCCTCCCAGAGTTTCGCGAGCGCCCTGGCATGATTGTCTTGAACCTGCTGAAGTCCCATCGTGCTCTCTGGTGAAAGGGTTGTCCGCGTGCACCGCCTCGTGTACCGCAGCCCCGCGCACAGCGGCCTCATTGTGCTTCTTGCTTTCTGGCCGCTTGCCTCCTGCCTCGCGCCGCTGCCCTTAAGTCGGGCCTGTCCCTCTACAGCTCTACAGGAGGAATCTGCAAACATAGCTTCAAACAAACATCGTCAGGGACGATGTCTCTGGTTTATCTTTGGGCCTCGTCTTCTTTATGTCTCGTCTACAATCCGCCTTTAGGAGGACACGCCCGACCTAACGCTACCCTCGTCATCTTGCTTCTCAGGCCGCGTGCAGGGGGCACCAGCAGTGCATGGGGTCCCACCGCAGTTCTCCGGCGGCTCGCGGCGGCGTGTCCCCGGGCCGCAGCCCGTCCCGTGGGCGCGCGGGCATGGCCGCCGCCTCGGGGTCCCTGTGGAACGACGAGGCCTTCGGCGACTTCGGGAAGGAGGAGCTCGACGCCTTCTTCGCGGCGGACGGGGCGGCGCCCAATGGCGCCGGGCCAGCTCGGCCCCCGCCGGGCCGCAGCGACATCGAGGCGGAGTACTCCCGCCTCTCCAGGAGTAAGTCGGGCGTGCCCCTCTGCAGGGGGAACACCCCAAAATAATGAAAATTAGTCTGGGGACGATTGCTGGAGTATTTTTACGCATCTTTAAAAAAATGAGTTTTCGTCCAAAATCTCGGCACGAACGACATGGGTACGGAAAGAACGGGTACAATGCCCAACAGCAGTTCCTGTTCATTTTGAACAGGACTCCCTGTCGGTGTCGCAGCGGCCTGTGTCCATTCGAGACAGCAGGCCGCCTGTCCAACAGCGGCCGTTGTTGGTCTGGGACAGCCTTTGTTCTTGGGCATTGTACCCATTCCTGCCTCACCCACTTCGGGCGTCCAGAAAATCCGCCTGACGCCCGACCTGACTCCAGGAGCCAGTCGCCGGCGCGCGGCGGCGGGCCCGTGGCTGCGGCCCCAGAGGGCGTGGCCAGCTTCGCGCTCGACGACGGCGACTCCGACGGCGTGGACGCCACCTGTGCCGACAGCGAGCACGTGCAGGATGATCGCAGGTTTAGAGATTGACACCAACACCAAGATCGGCGGTGTGCCTCCACCGAGGGAAGACGACCCCGATCTCGGCGATGGTGGTAATTTTCCGAGCATTTTTTTGGGTGGAGGGCAAAGGGTGAAATCTGAAGTAACGTTTCGATGGATGTTCGAGGCTCGAATCTGCAAAAGGTGATTCACATGACGGATTGATGTTCGAGGTGCAAACGCCCATATGGATTTCACCCTGAGCCCTCCACCCTACGAAAATGTTCAGAATATGATGCTGGCTTCCAGGGTGGCCGAAATATTGCCACCAACACCGAAATCTAGGATCTTCTTCCCCCTGTGGAGGCAACCCCCTGTGTTGGCGTTGGTGCCCATTTCCAGGCCTCCAAGAGTAAGTCGGGCCTGTCCCTCTACAGGAGGAATATTCAAAACTAGTCCAAAAATAGTCTGGGGACGATTTTTCGAGCATTTGTTGATCCTTTTGGGGCCGTGTCTGGCTATTTCTTAGCCTTCGTCTAAAAAAAAACACCCTGTAGGAGGACAGGCGCCCGCCTTCCGTGCAGGACTGCCGCGTGCCCGAGCTGCCCGAGGCGCCCGGGGGCTTCTCCGCCGAGGACCGGCGCCTGCGCGAGGCGCTGGCCGGCTTCTACCTGGCCCGGTGCCTACCAGCCTCGAACTTGTCCCTATCCCTAAGGTTGACACTTATGTCGGGCGTGTCCCCCTACAGGGGGATTTTCGACGGAAGATAGAAAAATACCCCAAAACTGCCCCAAAAAGGTCAAAAGATATTCAAAAAATAGTCCCCAGACTATTTTCGGATTATTTCTTGACTATGCTGGGGGTATCTTTTATTTGTCGTCGACAATCCCCCTGTAGGGGGACAGGCCCGACTTAAACTGACACGCCAAAAGGCGATGACAATCTTAGGGGTGCGCCCTCAAAAGATAAGGGATCCCCTAAGAGTGGCATCGTGATGAGATGCCCAGCATAGGGATAGGGATATGTTCCAGGGCTGGTAAGGTGCCCCGAGAAGCTGGGCGGGGTGAACGCCATCGTCGAGCAGTACAGGCCGAAGGGCAGAGGGCAGCACGAGCAAGACATCCTAGCTATAGACATCTTCGGGCCCAGACTGGAGGCCCAAAAGGATATAATGGAGGATGACGATTAATAAATGACCGGGGGTCGTGTTCACGCGGCGGCGCCCGGGATGGCGATTCGAAAAAAACGCCGCGGGTTGGAATACTATTTTTAAAAATCGTTCTTTTCCAGTCGGAAAATTAAGCAGAAATAGCAGAAAACTATTTGTTTAATCGTTCTCTCCAATTTTTTTAATTCATCGTCATCCCGCATTACACCACCTCGACGTCGATTCCTCCTCTCTCCTCTTTCCAGCGAGAGGGAGGTGGGGAGGGAGGTGGTGGTGGTGTAAATATTTGGGGGCCCCCCACAGACCCCCTCGAGTCGTGAACAAAAATCACGGCGCGAGGTTTTTCGCCACTTCCGGCTCTTGGGGGCCCCTATATATCGGGCCGCGGGACCGGCAAAGAACGAGTCCGGATGAAAAACCGGTCCCCGGGAATGGGCCGAGACCCGTGGAGGTCGATGTCATGAGAAGAGTCGTGACGTCGGGGGTCTGGGGAGCGGAGCGCGGATTTCTGGAGTTGGCGCTTGGGGCCCCCTGGTGTCGCCCCCGGCGCCCCGCCCCGCCCCTGACGCGCTCTTCGCGGGAGAAGAGGAGGAGGAGGCGGAGGAGGAGGAGGAGGAGGAGGCGGAGGAGGAGCAGGAGGCGGAGGCGGATGAGGAGGAGGAGGAGGCGGAGGAGGAGGAGGAGGAGGAGGAAGAGGAGGAGGAGGGGGAGGAGTTGTTTTCCTGCGGCTCTGCCAGGGGCCGAGCGGTCTCGCACCTCTGGGTGCAGCTGGCGTCGAAGTACCGGCTGCGCGTCCCGGACGTCGTCGAGGGCCTGGCGGGCACGCTGTATCTCGGCGCGCCCTTCGAGCAGCCAGAGGACCCCGAGATCCGACGTCGCGAAAATTGTCAGCATCGCGGACAAAGCTCGACCAGACGCAGCCCCAAGCCCCATCTTTCTGCTCGGGGGTGGACACGACCTCCTGCCCTGGCACGTCGATGAGCGAATTGGCCGTTCTCGGTTCGCGAGAGGGCGTCGCGGCCGTCATTTTTGCGGGTCCAGGTCCGTCGGTTTCGGTCCCAGGCCGTTGTCACTAAAGTCAGGAGGAAAAGAAACACACAGACACAACTAATCTTCGATTCCCCAGAAAACATGGGAAACTATGGGGTGTGGGGGGGGAGACAGAAACCCAGAAAATATGGGAAAATAGAGGGAATATTTTTATTTGTGTGTATCTATTTGTGTGCCCTGGGGCCCCTTCATCCAGGTCCGTCGGTTTCGGCCCCAGGCCGTTTTCACGAAAGGGTGGTTTGCCAAAGGGAGGTTTGGCCACCGCCGATCTGCGGCACCTGCGCGAGCGGCATCGATCTGTGATGGTCCCGGGGCCCATGATCGCCCGGTGTGGCCAGCAATGCTCAGGGGCGGGAAAGAGGGGGGTGATGACTAGGGGGGGGGGGGATATCATGGCGGGGGCCATGATATTTCCCCTGATTTCGTGGCGCCTCTTCTTGTTTCAGTACGTCCCTGGCCCCCCCGCTTGGCCGCGCACATGCCGCCGGTCATGATTTGCACCCCCCCCCCTCTTGGACGCCCCCTTCTTGGCCGCTCCCGCAATGCAGCTGCGAGTTCTGGAGCGAGTTCTGACCAGTTTCCCCAAGAGCATGATTCAGAAGCTGGGCGAGGGCTGCTAAAACCGTGGCCGCTAAAACGGCCCTCCCGGAAGGAATAAAAACAGCTTCCCGGAAGGAGGTGCGGCGCGCGAAACGGTCGACGGGCTTCTTCCCGGATGGACGAAGACAACTTCCCGGAGGTCGATTTTAGCAGCCACGGATTTGGCAGCCTTCGCCCGGCTTTCGATCCTGGCTGTTTTTGGCACCCGTTTCGAGCAGGTGGCCCCCCCCTGGGACGCACGGCTCCAAGCAGTCGCGCTGAGCAGAGGTCGGGAGCCAGACCCCCGCCCTCCCCCCCCCACCCCACCCCTTCCGCCCAATGCCGAAACTCCGAATAGAAACCACCATGCGAACATTATTCGGGAGGGGAAAAGACACACGGACACAACATCGTCGATTCCCAGGAAGATATGGGAAATACGGGAAATGGAGGGGAGACGAAAACCCAGAAACTACAGGAACATGTGGGGAAATCCTGGGATTTATGTGTATTTGTTTGTGTGTCCTTGGGCCTCTTTAATTATGGATGTTTGTCTCTTGAGCCCCTATTGGGGTCTCTCTTGGGGCCCTCTCGGGGTGTCTCGGGGGCATCTTGGGCCGTCTTGGGCCACCCTGCGTGTTTCTGAGTCAAGCAGTGGCGGAGCGTCCTGGCTCGCCTACAGCAGCCCTCGCCCTGCTTCCGCGAGCACCCCCCCGCGGCGACGAGGGCTCTTCCGGACGAGCAGCGGCAGCGGCTTCCCGCAGGCGCCCACCGCGTGCGCTGCGGCCGTCCCCCCCCCCCACAGGGGCGACGCGCGCGCTCAGAGAAGTCCTACAGCCTTCGGCCTGGCCTAGGGAACGACAGGCAAGGATAAGGAGAGGGAAAACACACACAGACACAATGAATCGTCGATTTCCCAGAAAATATGGGAACACATGGGAAGTGGGGGGGAAGACAAAAACCCAGAAAATATTTGTAACTATGGAGAATTATGTTATTTGTGTGTACTTATTTGTGTGTTTGTGGGCCCCTTCAAAGGAACGAGGCCCCTGTCTTCCCAGGTAAGTTCAGGAAGTCCGAAGGAACACCAGGGGGTCTCGCCGCCAAAAAGGTAGCGGAGCGCATGATGGCGGGCGATTCCTGGCCACACCTTTGGGGTAGCGATGCGCTGTAAGATGCTTGTGCTAGATGCTCGGTTCGGACCTGCGCCTCCCAGGGATGCCCGCGGTACTACGGTCGGCGATTGCTGGTTAGCCTGTTGCCCCACCGGTCCTGGCCCAGAGGAGGAGGAGGAGGAGGAGGAGGAGGAGGAGGAGGAGGAGGAGGAGGAGGAGGTGGAGGAGGAGGAGGAGGAGGAGTTAGAGGTGGAGGAGTTCCTGACCGTAGGCCTCCTCGACGTGCGCCCTCTCGCGTCCCGTCCCTCCCCTCCCCCAGAGGACGGCGGGGCCGGGGGCGCCTCGGGCAGCTCGGCGCTGCCCCCGGAGACGCTGGCGTCCCCGGAGGGCCGGGAGGAGCAGGGGGGGGGGGCTCGACGCATGCACACGACGCGCCTCTAGGCCCAGACCCTCTCGAGTCAGCGGAATGGCTTGCACGCTCCGCGGAGTCGCGAGCAGTTCCAGGCACCATGTGGCGCCCAACTGCATCAACATGAGCAGCGATGAAGTGCACTCGGCCGTTGTATGCCCAAGGGCAGACACTGGGTCCACCGCGCGCAAATGCGCGCATGCTCTAGCGCGCGGCTCGTGTAGAGTGCGGTTGGTCGTCGACGCTACGCCGCCCGCGCCGGCCCGGGGTGGCCAAACATCATGACATGTTCTGTTTTTTTTTATCTGTGCCATTCAAATCCTCTCCGGTCACGACGGACGTGATTTTTGCGGTTTTCGGCCTCGGGGGGCCCTTCCCGGGCCTCGCGAGCCCATCAGAAAACGGCTCAGGATGAAACGCCGGTCGCAGGGAAGGCATCGAGACCTTTGGGGGTCCTTGTTATGAAGAATTCGTGACGTCGGGGGTCTGCGGACATGGCCTCGCCGTCGACGATCGAAGGGGGTCGCCAGCTCTTTCTCGGCGGAAGGCGGGAGAAGATCGGCAGAAGCCGGCAGAAGTAAAATGAAGCCACCTCGATCCGCCGTCGGAAGGCGTGCGGAAGCCAGTGGAAGTAAAAGAGGCGCTCATAAGAGATGGCAGCGCTTTTGAGTTCAGGATTTCGGAACCCGCCATCCATACACATCCAAAGAGTTCGGCGAGTGAGTTCGGTGTGTTGGCGCGCCAACGTCTTCAAGGTTGTAAGGTTGAGGCGTCTACCGAAGTCGAAACAACTGCATAAGCAGAAGTTTTCGGATCTTCGCACGTATTTTCTGGATCGGCGCTGGGCCCCTCTCCCTGGCCCAGAGGGCCCGGCGCCGACCCCAGAAATCCGCGCAGACCTCAGACATCTCCTGTGCTTGCAGTTCTTCTGTTATTCGACGCTCCAGCGCCCCGCAGGGTGGGAAGATGAAGCTTTCATTGAGTCGGGCCTGTCCCTCTACAGGAGGAATATTCAAACATAGTAACAAACTAGCCGGGGGACAAATTTTTGTTTTTGTGCAATTTTCGACCATTTGGGAGTATGTTTGGCATATTTTGGCATTGTTCGCCCAAAATCCTCCTGCAGGGGGACATGCCCGACCTAAAGCTTGTACGGCTTCGGGCTGCGCACAGCCAGCCCCCCCCTCTGGGGCCCCAGCTGGCCCTCCGAGCTAGCCCAGGGCGATCGCAGCGCCCCGGCGCCACCTTCGGCGGCGCCCCTCGGGGCTCAAGAGACGGGTGTCAATGCAAACGGGGGTCAGCCAGGGCACCGGGATCCTGCAGGATCCTGCGAAGACCCCCCCTGGCTGACCCGGGTCAGCGAGCCGCTCGTGGCCGCGAGGCGGCCGCGCATATTGGCTGCCCCCGGTTTGCGAAGACCTGCGCTGCAGTTTTTTTTCCTGCATTGCAGTTTTTGGTTCCTGCCGACCCGGGCTTGGATGTGCCCGGGTCAGAAGATCCCCGAGCCCCCGCGGCGTTCCGCGCAGCCCCAGGGTCGGGGCGCCGGGACCGCCCGGGACGACTCGGGGGGCGTGGTGAGGCCAGCCGGGACTACTTGCGCACGATCGCAGGCCGCTGTGCCGTTTGCGCCTGTTGATCGCTCAGGACACGTGCCTGCACTGTGCGTCCGATCGGACCTCCGGTAAAAGAGTTGCCGAAGTCGTCGGTGCTCGGATGCGGTCTGTCGGCTGCCTGCCCCCAGGGAGTCTCCCTTCAGCGCAGCAGCACTCCTTACGGTGAGGGTATTGAATAATGAGGAACCGCTGGATGAGGAACCCAGGAGTCACCGTGAGCAGTCTTCTTGGAGTCTTCGCAGGCCCATAGGTTGACACCAACACCAGTATCGGCGGCGTGCCTCCATCGAGGGAAGAAGATCCCGATCTCGGTGATGGTGGTAATATTGTGGCTTCCAAGGTGACCGAAATACTACCACCAACACCGAAATCTAGGATCATCTTCCCCCTGTGGAGGCAACCCCGCTGTGTTGGTGTTGGTGCCAACTTCCAGGCCTCCAACACGAAGCGGAAGAGCAGCTGAGGACACACACACAAAGTCATGCCATGCGCCGGAGCGCGTGGGCGAGAGAAGACAATGCCAGCCGGCTATCGCCGCTCAGCGGGAGTGGCGGCGCGTCGGCGGTGGCATAATTTGCAGCGTGCCCGGCGGGGGGGAAGGGGGAGGGGGAAGAGAGGAGGGGAATGGGGGGGCTATTTGCGCACGAA